GCATATGCAATGAGTTAGAGCATCTAGTGGCACTTTGATAACCGCATTCCGATACGAGTTTCACCCCTCTTAATAGTAAGGCTATCGATCCTAAATGTATCACACTCACTAAGTGTCTTGATCACCAAAACAAAATGGCTCCTACAATTTATACCTTTGCCTTGAGCCTTTTGTTTTTCTCTTTCTTCTTTCCAAGTCCGAGCACTTGATCATTACCATGGCATCACCATCATCATGTTATGATCTTCATTTGCTTCACCACTTGGAGTGTGCTACCTATATCATGATCACTTGATAAACTAGGTTAGCACTTAGGGTTTCATCAATTCACCAAAACCAAACTAGAGCTTTCAAACGCTGATCGCCCGATTCCAACGGTCAAGAGATGACCGGACGCGTCAGTTAGAAAGTGACCGGACGCTGGATCTCAGCGTCCAGTTGTTTCCAGTAAGCTTCCAAACGCGGCATTTCACGACCGGACGCGTCCGGTCATGCCCGACCAGATTCACCCAGCGTCCAGTCATACAATGTCTCCTCTGAGCGCCTCACGTCAGCGTACGTCAGCACTGATCGGACGCACCCTGCCAGCGTCCGATCACTTTTAGCACCAGCGTCCGGTCGAAGACCGAAACACGCGGCCTCTGCTTCCACTGACCGGACGCTCCGGTCCAACCGAGACCAGCGTCCGGTTACATACAGTGACCTTCGTCTTCTCTGTCTAGGGCGCCGGTGGCACCGTCGGACTGTCCGCACTCTACGGGCGGACACTCCGCCGGTGAAATTTCCTACCCTTGCTCAAATGTGCTAACCACCAAGTGTATCACCTTGTGCACATGTGTTAGCATATTTTCATAAACATTTTCAAGGGTGTTAGCATTCCACTAGATCCTAAATGCATATGCAATGAGTTAGAGCATCTAGTGGCACTTTGACAACCGTATTTCGATACGAGTTTCACTCCTCTTAATAGTACGGCTATCAATCCTAAATGCGATCACACTCGCTAAGTGTCTCGATCACTAAAACAAAATAGCTCCTACAATTTATACCTTTGCCTTGAGCCTTTTGTTTTTCTCTTTCTTCTTTTCAAAGTTTAAGCATTTGATCATCACCATGCCATCACGGTCGTCATGATCTTCGCCATTGCTTCATCACTTGGAGTAGTGCTACCTATCTCATAATCATTTTGATAAACTAGGTTAGCACTTAGGGTTTCATCAATTAACCAAAACCAAACTAGAGCTTTCAGGCGTATGGCAAGGCGTCGAACTCTAGCATGTGCAACCATTCGCCGAGGAAAGTGATCCGCTGCGTGCCAGCGTCGAGTTGCCGCCGAATGCTGAGTTGCCGGTGATGTTGGTTGAAGAAAAGATTCCTATCTGGTTCGCCACAGAATCAGCACGCACATCTCCTACCTGGCACGCCACTGTCGATGAAATCTAGTCGGTAGTCTACCAAGGGGTACACCCACGGTAGTAGATGAATCGGTGGAGGTGCGCGTGATACGAACCAGATGGTAACAGAGACACAAGACACAAGATTTATACAGGTTCAGGCCGTCAGCTTGACGTAACACCCTATATCCTGTGCTCTATTATTTTGTATTGATTGTGTATCAGATTCGATATATCTCGTCTAGGGGACCCCTACCTCTCCTTATATACTCTGAAGGGGTAGGGTTACAAAGAAAATATCATATTTGGTATTATACAATAAATCACATCTTCTTGTAGCCTTGCGGTGCACGCCTTGATCTTATGGGCTGGGCCACCTCTGATGGTGCGGCCCATATCTTATCTTATGGGTACAGGGGGTATATCCCCCACAGGCGCCTAGGGTGCAACAGGGGCCACATTGGTGGAAGGTGGGAGCTATCGAGGGAGAAGGTAGCGGCAACACTAGGAGGAGACATGAGCTAGAGGTTGCACCGTGGAAGGGTTGAGGATGGCGCTAGGAGGCGACAGCATGGTGAGAGAGGAGAAACAAGACTGGAGAGAAGGAGAAAGGAGAAAATATGAGACTAGTTTGTGGACCCCATGACCCGGTTTGCCACGCCATGTCCAAGTCAACGAAGCTACGTGTCAAAACCAACACATCAGCACCAGTGCCACACTACGAGAAATCCACCTTTGGAGAGATCATGGAGGTAACTTGCACGGTTTTGTTAATTGAAAGAGTGTCAATACTAGGCTTTGCTTTTTTAGGGAGAATTCCCATGCTCAAATGATAGTTAACAAAAGCAGATAAGGACTTTTTCCACACCTCTTCTCTGTTGGCTTAAGAACTCTATGGCCATCCCAGTTCCTTTATGGGCTTCAACTACAACTTTACAAGCTCATAATAAGCAGAATAGGATGAAAAGGAACCGAATACGAATGATTATGGGCATTTTTTCTCAGATTCGAAGTCAGCTATGGATAATGTTGAATGTTCATCTAATAGATGTAATAGATATCTGATTTTGAATACTCATAATTTGGACATGATAGAGATATTGAATGTTCAAATTTAGATAGGGATGATCTATTTGGTATTCCTACCTCGAAAATAGACATATATCGAGAAATATTCGTTCTGTTTTCATGCCCGATCAGTGATATGCACAATATATCCCTAAAAAAATACCAAGCATAATAGGAAGTACGACACATATGACGACTCAATATATACTTCTAATGCCAAATAGTGTTGTTATATTCTTTTTTCTAAAGGAGTGTGATTATATTCTTGTATGTGCATTATATATTAAGGAGCTCCCCTTCCTAATCTATTTATTATTATCGTACCCCCTCTGTCTAAAATATAAGGGATATAAGTTTATCTTAAGTTAAATTATAAAGTTTGACCAAATTTATTAAGAAGAGTATTATATATATATATATATATATATATATATATATATATATATATATATATATATATATATATATAACATCAAAGATGTAAATTATGAAAATATATTTCATAACATATCCAGTGATGCTAATTTAAAGATGTAACTATTATTTTTCTTTTCCATTGTTTTGATCAAAGTTAACACAATTTGAGGACAAACTTAAATCCCTTATATTTCAGGACTAAGAGAGTATCACAAAAGCTTCAAAAAAACACCACGCCCACCAAAATAACCTATAAATTATTAAATTAATGAAGAAAACTATACCATTAAATTTGATGATAATCTAAAGGCTTAGAATACCACTTTGTTTGGTTCGTGACCTGTCATACAGCAAGGCTGCCAGATATCGATTTCCAACCTAAACACACAAAACTAGCTAGACGCCCACGCAAAGATGTCTGGATTGAAACCAAACAAGTTGTAAACTAGAGAGTCCATGCCTAATATTAAGGTCTACAGTTAAGAGATTAGTTGGAAAAAGGCAGAAGAACCTACGTGGCTCCATTGTTGTAACGGTTTAGATTAAGCTAAAGAGTTCATACATAACATAAAATATTAAGGCATAGAAAATTATGAGATTAATCAGAACCAGAGAAAAATCTACAATGTTGGATTTTATAATGATCTAACGGCTTACATGAAACCAAAGAGCATGTGCCTAATATAATTAACAAATAGTAAGTTTGAAATAATAAATTAAGAAAATAACAATTTGGTTTCCATACTAGTTGGAAAGGGAAATATCTATATAAAGTGTCAACATAAAACACCATTAGTAAAGAAAAATTCAAACAAAAGCTATGAAAAGTTAATAGTTTGATTTCCAAATAAATTCTAAGTAATGTGCTTCCTTCAAACAATAGCTTCAAAAGAAACCACTATGTTCTATCAAAAGGACTGAGAAATCCAAGGTTCATCAAGAAAAGAGAAGAACCTATATGTTGTTGGACTTTAAGGTGATCTAACAGCTACGATTAAAATCATATAATTTATGCTAATATGATTAGTAGAAAGTAAGGCCTCGACCTTAAGAGACGAATAAAAAAATAAGAGGCCTTGACATTAAGAGACGAATAAAAAAATAAGAACCCACACTGCTAGTTTTATGATGATTTAAGGGTTTAGATTAAACAAAACATCCATGTCCAATACAATTAGTAAATACTAATTTTAAAATAATAAATTAAGAAAGAATAGAAATTTGATTTCCATACAAATAGAAAAATACCTAAATAAAGAGTGTATGTAAAACACAATTAGTAAAGGCAAATTTTGAATTAAAACTATGAAAAGTTGATAACTTGATCTCTAAATGAATTGTAAAGAAAAGATTCATAAATTAATTATATTAGTAAATAGCAAAATCACAAATTACATATTATAAATTTGATTTTCATATGTTGGAAAACGACACGTAAATAAAAAGTTATTGTATTACAAGTTTTAGAAAGTGTGATGATAATCTCTTTTTTATTGAAAGAACCGTGATTATATTCTTGTACAGTTGTATGTGCATTATGAGCCTGTTTGATTTCTTGTCCAGGCAAAGTTGTCTAGCCAGATAGTAATCGAGGACATCAATTTCAAGTACCTAGCAATCAGGATTATTGCTCGGTAAGCTGTCATGTATAGTAATTGTAGAAGCTGATATGCCAGCTGCTGGCTACTACTAACAACTGTTTTGCCCATCCGGGCTCATGGACTTGCCAGAACATAGGTCCACTGTCCACCCAAGTAAAAGAAGAGGCCCAAAGGCAAAAAAAAAAGTGCACTGCAGCCGGCAGCACGCGTTGCTTCCACTCAAGGCTCAAGCGTCCCGCACAGCTAACAATCCACGTTCAAAGATCAAAAAAGGCGCGACACAGATTCCAGATGCGCCACTCAACCACTAAACCATATCGCGCGCATACATGCGAAGCATGCACGGCACTACACACAACCAGACTCCGACCCAACAACGAACAAGGGAAAAAAAAAAGAACAAAAAACATCTTCTGCTTGCAGTAAATACTCTCTTGTCCAGTAGGAATTAGGAAAGCATATTATTATACCTGCATTATGTCCATGCTTATTATCAAGCACACTGTTTAGTACAGAAGCCTTAATCACTAATCTTTGGCCTTGGCATTGATGGTGGCGGCGTCAGTGACGCCGCGACGGCGAGAGCGACGGTCGCCAGGTTCTTGAACTCGGCGTCCTCCGCGGCCAGCGGCGACGTGTCGTCGGCCTCGCCAAACGCGTCCTCGCACGTCTCGGGCGCGTCCAGCGCCGCGCTGAGCTGCGTGACTGCGTCGTCGATGACGCCCTCCGCGCCGTGGGCGAGCTCCTCCTCTGCCTGGTCGAGCTGGTCCACGGCGTCCGAGTATACCTCCGCGCACACGGACAGGCGGTCCCGCCTCCTCGCGTCCCTCTCGAGCGCGCTCATGGCCTCGATGCGCGCGGCCGTCGCGTTGGCCTTTGCCTCGGCGATCCTGGCCGCGATGGCGGCGAGGCCGCGCGCGTCGGTGGCCTCGGCGCTGGCCTTGTCGGCCTGGAAGATCCTAATGCAGTAGTCGTAGCCGATGGATGGGTGGCCGGCGGCGAAGGACCTGCATGTGTCTTGCAGCGGGGAAGACCTGCACATCGGCAAGCTGAGCAGGACGAACAACACGGAGGAGACTAGCTTCATGGTGGCGCCGATGATTTTTTGCTTAGCTAGTTAACTTGCGGGGGCGACGTGTTGAGAGTTGGATGTGGATGGTAGAGACGCAGTTGGTGGCTTGGTGCCGGCCGCCGGCCGGCTCGTAGCTAATAAGTAGTCGTGCAGACAGAAAAATGCCCTCCGAGTGTACAATATCCGAATAATATTTATATATATTTATATTTATGAAGGAAGGTTCTAATAACTTGTACAAGTGTTGACTCTGATTTAGGTCCCATAACACCCCAGTATTTTATATGGAGTATGGGTGGTCTTATTCCTTTGAAAAAACAATATGGTGTTATTTTCATTAAATTTTTTGTTAGATTAGACCAAAACCAGCATATAGACAAATCGGTCTGGTTTTGGTTTTAGTGTCAACAACAAGGCACGTTAGATTACGTGATGAAAACCATAAAAACCTGGAAGTAGTGCGGCCTGCAGTGACATAGAAGAGGGCCGATCACGATGCCCGCCCGGGTCCAGTCGAGCCAGAAGAATCTCGGTCGGCCCAAACTGAAAAAATAGGCCCACTGCCACACTGCTCCGGCTCCGGCCACAGCCGAGACGCGACTAGCAGCAGCCGCTTGCTCAGATCGGCAGCGGCGGCGGCGGCGGCGGAGATGGCGATCCGGTACTGGCAGATGGCCGCGGCAGCCGTTGGGTTCCGCCTCGTCCTGGTTCTCTTCGGCGGGGACCTCCACCTTGCCTCTCGCCCTGAGGTCTCCACCCCCCTCACCTCCCTTCGCCGCCGTAAGCGCCTCCCCACGCCCTATCCTCCTTGTGATCCTGACCGTCGTGTGGCTTCGTCGTAATTCGAGCTTTGGTTTCTCTCTTCTCTGTCTTACAGTGGCGGAAGGCTACTGGCTGAAGCAAGCGTCCGTGTCGCCGTACTCCGGTAAGTTACACGACCCCGTTCTTGCACCCTTCTCACTTTGACATTTGCATCTGAACTCGTGACCAATGAGCTAGTAGTAGTTGCTGCACTGAGTTGTTATGCAGTGGATCAAGTAACACAGGTGTGTTTCCACATAAAAGACGAAGTAGCATAGGTTTGCTATATCTAAACCAAGTGCCATCACATGGTTAATGAAATACACTTTGATTGGTTCTTTGCACTGCTCTGTCTTATGGTATGAACTGGAAGGATGATTTGTCCTGTTGATCGATTTCTCTTTCAGGTTCTATGTATCACGGTTCCCCGTTGCTCCTGTCTATTCTCGGTCCATTAACTAATAGCAGGTGATTAATCCTTTTTTTATGATATTTCTGCCTTCGTTGCTCCTGCTATACCTTCCGAGCATTTGTTAATTTTGACAAAGTTTCATTTGAAAATCGAAATGTTAACATCCATAGATTTGATGGTATTACAGGCCTGACGGACATCATGCTCATATTTACTGCAGGTAGAGATATGTTGGTATCTACCTTTTCTTGCAACTAATGTGTGCTTTTAACCTTTTATAAGATTTACAAATTGTTGATATGTAGTTGGCTTTTTTTTGAAAAATAGTTGGTTTCCCATAGCTTTCTTTTATTTGTCTCAGCATGTGACTAAAAATAAAATAATATCCTCAAACATCTTCCATTGATTGAATTTTGTTGGTGGTAATGTAATTCCTGTTACGCTCATCAATGCACGACACAGTTTGATTTTTGTGGCTGTAGATTTTCTAGCTGCCATGCTCATCCGAGCAACTGGGCATAAACTCCAAATGGCACGGAACAGAAGTTTGAAGTCACTTGACCTCACAAAGGCAGTAAACGATTCAGGTGGATCATAGCAATTAATGTTATGTTTTTTCATTCCTCTCTGAATGTGCCCTATCAAATACTACCTTAAATGGGAAAATATTGGGTGTAGCAGAGGGGGGGGACAACCTCTAAAAACATGCACACCCATATTACATCCGTAGATGTACTTTCTCACAAAAGTTGGGATGCAAACTCATTTTGTAGAGATTTGATGAGTTTGCATCCAACTTTTGTGACCAAGTACATCTATGGATGTGCATTGTTGGAAAACTTCTAAGCATCTTTTTGCGGGGTGGGGGACTTTTCTGCCAAGATGGTGTTTTTTGCACACAATATTTTCCCAGCTTAAAAGTGCCTTAGTTTCTTACCCTGTTACCAACATTGTTGTACTTGTTTTACCATAGATTGTTTCTTACAATATCAATATCGTTTTGATACTCGCAACTTGTAAACTGCAAAATTCAAAAATAGACATAATTTATTCACAAATTTAGTGATTGGCATGTTGCCATTCTTTATTTTCATAGTATTATCTGGAAGACACAGCCCATTTTTTTTTCCTTTCTTGTAATGCTCCAGTAATAAAGTAGTTATGAATTTCTCACATTAAAACTGAAGTTGCATAGCCTCTGCTTTCATGGTAGCACTTGTTTTGCTGTCTGTAAGTATGTACAACCTATCATGGAAATGTTCTTAGTACTTAACAGTCTAATGCTTTCAGGTTTCGCTTACTATTTGTTAGACTGGTACTTATTATTCATAACAATATCATTGATGCAGTTAATGTAAGCGCTGGAGATGTTGCTTCTCTCATATATTTGTGGAACCCTTGGGCAATAGTCACTTGTGTGGGTTCATGTACATCACCAATCGAGAATCTAATGGTTGTAATAATGATCTATGGAGCCTGTTCACGTAAGATGGTCTCAATTTTGTGTTTCCATTCCTTATTTTTCTAGTATGAATTAAAACCTCCAATCTCAAAACTGGAAATCACACTTCTATCTCATTTTGCTTCAGTTTCTATTTCAAAATGAATCCTGGTATTTGACAAATCATCAGTTAGTAACATTGTCATTGCGATTGGGATATTGATCCTTGGGTAACCTAGAGTTCCCAAGTTTTATGCTGGTTAATAAATCTGTATTTGTAATTTTTATTAGGTCTGGCTCCTCTTGCTGCTTTTGGATATGTTATGGCCACGCATCTCTCTCTTTATCCTGCAATTCTCATTGTACCGGTCAGTACCACAATTTCTGTTTGCATTTTCCATTTCAGTTCAAATGTCCGATCATATCTGCTACTAACCTGCATGGTTGTCTACTAAAGAATATAACTCTGTTTCAGGTCATTCTGTTGCTGGGTTATGGTCCAGATGCTCCTCCACCAAAAGTATTTCTTATTAAAGGGTCAAGTGCCAGTAAAAGTGACGAGTCAGACAACGATAAAACAACCAGACAGAGAGTTGTTCAACAGTTTTCATGGAAACCAGTACTTCACTTTATATTTTGGCTGTTTATCTGGTCATGCCATGTGTTGTTATTGAGCAGCGTGATTCTGAAGAAAGTTGGTGGCCTCCACGAGATGTTTGAAAAGTAAGATGCTATAAGCTCCTTTTGCGGCCTTCAGGGGGATGTGTTTCCTGGGAAGTCACCAAATTCATCTCAAAATATGCACTAGTTTGCCCTAAGCCTTCGCTTAAAAGACAGCTTTTCTTAAAGGAGTGAGGTATAACTTTGCTTAGGAGTTCGGTTCAGACATTTGCAAATCGTGTCGTCCTTGTAAAGGCGGTTTTCCCTATCTTAGGAGTTCAGTCTCTGAGCTTCATCTCATAAACAACTCTTTTCATTTCCAATCAACTTATTTTGTCCGTCACCTGATTACTGATGTGCTGTTGTTTGCAGGACGTATGGTTTTATACTTACAGTGAAGGACCTATCACCAAATATCGGTGTTTTATGGTAAGTGTTGAGATTTTTCTAATAGAATATTTGTCATTGTCACTCAAGCATAGTTCCAATGTGTCTTATACATTTTGAGAATGACTGCAGGTACTTCTTTGCTGAAGTCTTCGACTTCTTTAGAAATTTCTTTCTTATAGTCTTCAATATGAACATCATTTTTGTGGTCTTGCCATTGGCCATCCGATTGAAGCATCGTCCGTGCTTTCTTGCATTTGTTTACACTGCAATTGTGGCAATATTGAAATCATATCCATCGGTGAGTTTTTTTTTAATATTTTATATGATATTTCTAAAAAATTAGTCTTTCAGGTGCAAAATATTGCCATAGCTATCTGTTTTGTTTGTGTGCTCTGGTTTTTATTTTCAATCTGTTGATATGTGTCTTATTATGATTTTTCCTGAAGGCTGGAGATTCAGCTCTGTATCTTGGTCTTCTGGGCTTATTTGTCAATGAGTTAGCAGGTAGATAGCAGTTCTACTACATAATGTTTTTAATGGTTCCTAGAGAATTAATAATGCTTTATGTTTACATCTTGCAGAAATGCAGTTCACATTCTTCTTATTTTTCGGATATATTGGAGTCTCCCTGCTTAGCCCTGTCATGCATAATCTGTGGATCTGGAGGGTCTCTCTCTTGCTCTGTGAATTAACACCATTGTCAGGGACTTGTAATGCAAAGAGTGTTTCTAGTATATCGTTGCTAACCTGACAGGGTTTTCCTTTCAGGGCACTGGTAATGCAAATTTCTACTTCGCCACTGGTTTGGCTTATACTTGCCTTCAGGTAACCAAATACTCTTATCATATGCTTTTTCCCCTTTTTGTGACAATACCTACAATTCCACTACTGGCAGCTTTTCTTGCAAACAATTCTTTAAAAAAAAATTGTAGAATTCTTAGCAGGAATTTAGGATTTTGTTTTGGAGCAAACTGTTGCGTAGATCCACCCCTTCCTTTTGATGGTATTGGCCAGTTCATGTTTATGTTGCTGCCCCCCAAAGCTGGGTTTGAAAACTCAATCTTGAAAGTGAACTTTAAGATCCAATGTCGGAATTTATGCATAGCGATCAAACACAGACATTTATATATATATTCTTTTTTGTTATGGACATGTATATAGAAGTCATTTGGGGTATATATCTGTTAAAGTTGTGGAGCTTAATTTCTCTAACTTACCCAAGTCCTGTTTTCCAATTTGCAGACTGTGTTGCTGGTAGAGAGTGTAAGTTCAATGATAAAGCACGACAGAAAGCTAAGGTTACTTGTTACAAGCTAACTTGGTCCCTCAGATAAAGCTCCGATGCTTGCAATTTCCTCTCTGGTGCTCTTGATTCTTGAACACAAACAGCTCCTCATCCTGGAGTTTGTAGATGTAGCTCATATTCGATGTAGCATGTTGTATTGTAGACCCCCACACTTGTACAATACGAGGACCACAACTCTTTTAACGAAGACAAGGAACACGACAGGGCTCGCCCTTGGTGACTCATTGTGATCGCTAACGAGCATTGGTGTGGATTCTGTGAATCTGTGATGTTCAGTGATGCAGCTTGGTTGAATTGCCCTCGCGTACAATTAATTCCGTCAATCTGCTGGATAGTGAAGGAAACCTTCATTTGAATGTTAACCAAGCGGATAACTAATTTTCGTTTCTTCAGAGCAAGGTCATTATTATCCGCGCGTTGCAGTTCGTAGCGTACTGCAGAGACGTCTGCTGTTCAGAGCTCTTCTACGATTCTACCGTTGGGATTTTTAACCCTCGTCCTTGCAGTTGCAGTGTAATCTTGGGTTCCCGTGGCACTGTTGCTGGTACCAGTGTACTGATCTCGATTAATGGTCAGACCAACAAGATCTGTCGTGTTCCTGCTGCAGGCACTGTCTTATAGTCTACCTAAATCACACTGCTAACCACCCACGCGCTGCAGATGTGGCTCGCTACCGGAATCTACGCGCATGTTTGGTTGTGATTCAAACGAGGCTACCACTTTTTTACAGCACAAGCCTCGTAACAGACTGTGACGCCCAAAAACTACGCCACCACCATAACTCGCCGCACTTTAGGTGTGGTTATCTGTGGCAGGGATCCAAACAGCATCTATATCGCCCTTTTGCTCGTGACGCTGCCCTCATCCTCGCGCGGGGTCGTTGGTCCTCCTCTACCGGACTCCTCTGCCGACGCCGGTCCTTACCATCCGGCGGCGCCCCTTACTCGTAGGCGGAGCGCAAGCGCCAGCTTCGAAGGATGCACGTGAGGAAGGCATGGCTAGCGACGATTCCTACTCGGCTCCAGGCCTCCAGCACGCGAGGGTGATGGGGCCCACGAAAGCAAGAGGGAGCCAAGTTAAGCTAAGTGTTTGTTAGAGACCGCTTCGCTTTTATGTTTTTTTTAAGCTTTGCTCCATGTTTTTCAACAAAACAAGTGTAGCTCCATAAACTCTACTTCTGGAAAAAAAAAGTTGAGAGAACACATAAAGGGGTGTTCCAGGCCAGAGCTTAGCAGTCATGTTCCCACAAAGAAATGAGAACGTGGAACGAGAACGAAAACTTGAGGTGTTATTTTATAATGTGGTAACATAAATGTTGCCAACTCGAGGATGCGGACGTGACCGGAACAAGAAACGTGGCCACGTCCCACGTTCCCAGTGGCTAGATTTAGAGACTCCAGATTTTTATGGATCTATTTTATGGTAGAGTTTTTGAAACAGGGTTGATGGGAGAGTCTCAAAACATACCCTAATTTTTTTTAGCTCATTCGCCGTGTTCCAACTCCGGTCAGTGGGTTTTACGAGACTCTGCGCACGGAGCTTTTACTTGAGAATCCATTTGGTTATTGGTGTGCTGAAGTGGCTCTCGGAGTGGTCGACGAAGTGCTACCAGACGCCTCACTGTAAATGAATATCTTGTACATGTGTTCACTCATGTTCTACAGTGCGCACACAGGGAAACAAGACCTTCATCACTCTTGCCAACTTGCCAAGCTATCTACTCTTCCGTCGCTGAGCCCATAAAGAGTTAAGGCCTCGTCGCATGCGCATGGGGTGGGTGCGTCACAGCTTCCACTCGCTTACCATTTACTCCCTCCGTCTCATTTTTTTTCTCTCGAATATGCAAAAAATTTACGTATTATTATATTAAGTAGAAGAGTTTAAACATACAGACAACGCGTTTCTATTAAGCGTAGAAAGTGGTCGACCTAAAACAGCCGTGGCTGGACCGTTTTAGCAAAAGACATATAGTTTCGACATTACATAAATGAAAAACAATCAAAACCGACGCAGCAGTGCGACCTAGGAGGTAACCTTGCGTCTTCGCGGCTGCCTAGACAAGTCCTTTAAAGTATCGTTTTTAATAAGACGAACCGTCAAATAAGAAGTCTATCTAGAAATAAAAAACGATAATTGCTCTGTTCGCTTTGGCTGATAAGCCATGACTGAAAGTACTGTTGGCTGATTTATCGTGAGAGAAAAATATTGTTTGCTGGCTGAAAAAGTACGACTTATAAGCCAAACAAACATGACAAATTTTAATAGGAGAGAGGGAGCGTGTGTCCGGGTGGTGCAGTGCCATGGCGAGAAGCCCCGGCCCTATGCAACGTCCACGATCACAGGGAGCATACACTTGTACGTAACACTGTCACTGCAGACACACAGATACAGGTACACGTACACGCAGGCATGGCGCGCACGGCACGGTCAAGCCGACGCTCGATCACGTCGCGGTATTGAATCCCTTCACCCACCCGGTTCAGGTTTCAGCTACATGTCGCTTGGACGCCCTGCGAGAAATCATATCCATGCACACACACAGGCACAGCGTACGCTTGGACGACGAGGCCGCGACTTTTTTCACTGGACCGACGCTTGAACGGCGCTTCTCCCCGCCGCGCAGGGCAAAGCAGCTACAGCGGCAGGCGCGGGGTCACCTCGCCGCGGTAGGAAGCGGAGTTTAATGGCCGGGCATTCATTCCGTTCGGGGTGCCCGCGCGGTTGCCGGTTGGGCGCTGCCGCTGCTACTACCCTGCCTGTGCCTGGTGCCTGCCACTGCGGTCGCTGCTCCAGAGTCCAGACGACCATGGTCCATGGACTCGAATCCATCAATGCGTCGCTCTATGCTTGCCGAGCCTTGCTGCCCTCGGTACTAATCGCCGGATACTCTGCGCTGCGGTGTGCCCCGCGCAGTGCGTTTGGTGGCTGGCAAAGCCGACGTATGTACGTCAAACGTTGGATCACCGGCTAATGATGAGCAGGTCCACATGGATGGAGACGAGTATTCATACACTTTGAGCGATGAGGCCCAGTTGTCTGTGGTCTCGGAAAGCAGCTATGTACTGGCCCTATATATATGTATCCATTGACGCATACACAAATTGGCGGATACAAATTCATAAACAAGAATGCAACTCGGATTCATGAACAAGGACCGAAGTTTTGGCGAAGTACTAGGTCGATGTCACGGCGACTTGACGAACTGCGCGTGCCCAAGCCAGCCCCGTGCATTTCCTAGAGGGTGCATGCATGGACCACCGGCTCACCAGCAGCCAAGCTCCGGCGCCACGACAAAAATCGGAATTCCCAGTAGTATCTGCCCAAGGGCGACGAGCAGAAAAGACTCATAGGAGTAGACAATTCCAAATTCTAGAATTTGGAAGTAGGACAAGTACAGTACACTTCTCTTGTCTCTATTTGTCTTGATCCTGAACATGCGAGAAACGGCCATGGCATTCGCAATCGTCTGAAGGATCACCAACAGTGACCTGCAATCCGCGTGCCCATCCACATACTTGTCACAGGACAGTGGAAACGAGTACACGACTGACCGCGAGTCTGGCAGGCTGCAGCGCACTGCGGCCATGGATGGCTGCCACACAGGTGACAACCACACGCGCACCACCACCACCACCACCACCACGGTCAGAGGAGAGGACGACCCAACGCAACCAACCAAGAATCCCGGCCTCCTCAAATCCCCAAATTGCATCGCATTGCTGCCCCGGAAAAGAACAAAAGTCGATCAATTCAAGAAGAAGCTTTCGGAGACGCTAAACTCACCCCTGGTCTCTGGAGACCCTGCTTGTTTCTTGTGTTTTTACAATGGAATGGGGGTCCTAAGTAGAAAAAATTGAACATGGAAGGAGTTCACAAAAAACACCCTCGTGCGATCCCGTAATTACAGCTGCCTGGCTATACCCCGACGATCCAACGGTACAGGGCCACGAACGCCGGCTCCTCCTCGTCGGGCGCGCGGTGCATCGCCGCGCCCGTCGCCGCCTCCGGGTCCCACCCCCACGAGTCGTCCTGCCGGTGTCCCTGGCTCTGGCTGCGGCTGTGGTGTCCCTGGCCCTGGCTCCACCGCGCGCTCCACCGCCCGGAGAGGGAGGAGGCCGAAGACGCGAGGCGGTCCACGTACTCGCGCAGCCACCCGCGGGACCCGGCCGCCTCCGCCAGCGCCTCGCCGGGCGTCGCCGGCGCGGCCTGGTGGGTCGCCGACTTGGCCGCCGCCGACACCGCGGGGCGCGTGATGCGGGACACGACGGCCTCCACCTCCTCGTCGACGCGGTAGTCGAAGGAGCCCAGCGAGTAGGTGCGGCGGTCGTCGCCCGAGGCGGAGGAGCGGCGGTTGCTTACGCTGCCGATCTCGACGCGGAAGCTCCTCGAGTTGTTGTTGCTGCTGCTGACCCGCGAGTCGAGCGGCTCCTGCGCCTGCGCGGGCGGCGGCGCGGTGGGGAGCGGCGGGTGCGGGAGCGAGACGGCGGCGCGGCAGAGCGGGCACGACGGCGTGGTGCGCAGCCACGCGTCGACGCAGGCGGCGTGGAAGGCGTGCCGGCACGCCGGGAGCAGCCGCAGCTCGGCGTCGGGGGAGAAGGGCGAGAGGCAGACCGCGCAGTCGGGGGAGCTCTTGGGAAGCGCCGCCAGCGCCGACGCCATGGTGAACAGCGGCAGCGACGCGATCAGACGCTCCTTCTCGTCGTCCACCACCTCCTCCGCAGGCTGCGCCTCCTCCGGCCCCACCGCCGCTGCGCTCCTCCTCGTGGACCCCACCTCCGCCTCGTCCTCCGACGCGCGGCGGGCCCTGCTGGTCGGGAGCGGGCTCGGGCCCCGATGCGATGATGACGATGACGAGGAGGAGCGGGCGAGGCAGCGGAGGAGGAGATGGATCGAGACGGAGGCGAAGACGACGAACGCGAGCAGCGCGGCGATGATGAGCAGCGAGGGGGAGAGGTTGAACGACGACGAAGAGGACGGCGGCGGCGGCAATGAGGGCGGGAGTGTGGCCGCGAACGGGTCGCCGGCGGCCGGCGGCGGGAGGCCGTCCATCAGGGGAGCAGCGGCAGCCGCAGCCCACGAGAGGAGAGCGGTGGTGTGTTTAAGGCGGCCTGCAGGCTGTGGCCTCGCGCCTTTTATTTATGGGTTTTGGAGTGCGTGGCGTGGTGGACGGGGGAGGAGGGGGAGGGGGAGGCGGAGGGGGACGGCAGCACCACCAGTCAGCCAGCCAGCCAGCCTGTGATTCACAGGAAGCTGAGGATGTGACACTCTTTCTTCAGTTGGTGACTTTTTGTTCGTCATCGAGGATTTGCGTTGGTGACTTCTGACTTGGCTTGGTTAATATATATAATAATATATAATAATCGATGACTCACACTGATCCTATTGCTCTTGTTATTTCCCAATTCAAGTCAAATGAACTTTTATGATACTTCTGCTCGTAATTTCCAGGGGATTGTAGCTTGCACTGGACTTTATTTAAGCTTACTTTATTATCTGAATCTGGTCACGAAAGTGTTTTCTACAATGTGCGGCCACGGTTTTCAGAATACCCGTCGTGTACACTGCCGAGACCGGCCATCTCTATTATAATGGACCAATCAAAGTTGTACTAGATTCCCAAAAAAAATTTCCCCGCTGAAAGCCTCCAACCATTGTACACCTAGAAAAATGCACACAGTAATTCATCTGTATTAAAATCAAGGGCTAATAAGACATCTAAACTAAATCTGATGACCACGATTAGATGTGGGATGTCAGACTTCTCACCCCCGCGCCCTCCTCGCACGCCGCACGCCGCACGCCACGACCCATCGTGATTGCGATTTAACGCTCGAAGCCAATCATCACTGAATAAAAAAAACGCGTTCAAAACCTTCCGGGTTGCCGTAGCGCCGTTCGACGTTGAAACATTCCGATCGCCCGCGCCCACGCCCACGCCCACGCCCACACCCTTCGCGGAGGGGAGGAGGAAGCCGCGGTGCCTGGTGAGCTAGATCTGAACGACGGCGAGATCCATGTGACCGTCGGCGATATTGCCCAAATACTTAATTATAAGTGCAAATCTCTCAGATATGCCATGAATCTTAGTCACTACAATTTGCAATAGCATCTTGCTACTCAGAGCGCCGACCTCGCGTCGTCGCACAACGTGCAACCTTCATCTGCCTGAACGACGGCACGCTTTCATTGCTATATTGCCTCAGTTTGTCGGACGTGGTGAGGAAACCCTGCTGCCTGTCGCTACTGCCAGCCAGCTGGCCATAACCCCGGCGCCGCGACGAACGCGCGGCAGGGCTCTAAACTTGGGCGGCCCGGCTGCATCTACGGACTAGTCGACAGAAGATCTGGCCGGCCACATCTCATTGTCATCGCAGGTACTTCACAATGTCTACTATCAGTATCATAGGGACTCTGAAGTCTGATTATGAACGATTTTTAATGTGACAAATACTCTGCATTTGTTCTAAAAACTCTGGGAGTGAAAAGTTGCAAAAAATTAGCACCGAACCAAAGGAGCTTGATGGCTTGACCCTGGCAGCCTGGCCTGCAGTTAACACACTGTGTTACTACTAAAAAAACTAGAAAATATGTGCTCTGTCTGGTTTCAGTTTCAGTTTTAGTCATGTGCTAGAATATGATAATATGCAAAAAAAAAATGCATTGAGTTCAAATAAAGTATCTTTATAAATATGGAGCCTTTTTCTTTCTCAAGTTTTTTCATATCAGAAGTCACTTCTTTTTTCCACCACCTAATGGATTAGATGTCGACAATATTTTTTTCATTCTAGATCAATATGTACGAGTGCCAGTGTGCAACACTGCAACTTGACTTATATAGAAAATACTAAATAATATTCATGTGTTGCAAATGTCAGAATTCCTTTTATTTGTGAACCGAGGTACTATAGAATTCTATATACAACTCAATTTACCGAACAAGAGTAACTATCACATGATCAATAATTTTGGTTTATTCTAATTGTTTTGAATTTCATTGCATGACTATGATGAATGCTTGAGCTACATATCAGTACTGACTTTTGGGGTCTGTCTATATAAAAGAAAAATAAGTAGAAGAAAAAAGAAAAAAGATATACCTCCCTTACATGTTTTTTAAGATCCTACTATGTGGTCCTCCTTGACTTTCATGCTTTGAAATTTCAATCATATGCTCTGTCTGGTACTCTGGTTACAGATTCAGTTACTAGCACAGCTTATAGCTAACACAGATAACATATGTTTTTGGCTTAATTTTGATGCAAGGTATATCAATTTATAAGTCTGTTAAATTTGTATTTGACACATAATGTCAAATTAGTTCTGTGCCAAACCAAATATTCACTTAAATCTGTACCCAGTTATCTTATCTTGGAGGAAACCCTGCTGCCTGCCGCTACTGTCGGCTGAAGATCCTCGCTGGTACTTCGCAATGTCTACGCCCGGAGATACACGCGATGCGCTAAGCGATATCACCAACATCGCATGTATGCTTTCAATATAAACAATACTTTCGTCTAAATTATGACATCTGAACTTTTGGATGTTTACACAGACACCTTTCATTCAGCGGGTTGAACGGAGACGTATCATTTTACTTTGCCAAACTCAAAGCACTCGAGTATTTGTAACTACATGTTTTCAGTCACGTTAATTCTATAGTGAATTTTAGTCAGTGAAGATAAATTTGTGTTTCTAAATTCTGATATATTTTCAGGGATTTATCACACAATAAGTTGGAGGGCTCAATTCTTGATGTCCTTTCACAGCTGACATCTCTCATGGTTATGTGAATTTTCTGATCCCTGATGACTTTCATGTCTTAGAGTTTAGCTATAAACAACTGCTAATACTAATCTAATCATTATACACTACTGAAAAATGATTTTTAGACTGGTCCATAATTTTTAGGACTACACTACTTGATTTATGGTGGAGGCGGGCGCCTGCTGGATGCTCGTCCTGCAGCACCAGGATCGCCGCTGTCATTGCTTGCTCTTTGCGAGTTTTACTGATGGGTACGATTTATGAATGACAGGTGTCAGGAGCTGTTATGACGAGGAAATTAATAATTTAGCTTATTATCTGCCATGTACAGCTATCAACTTCAATGAGAATGAAATTATTGGCGGACATTTTGAAGAGCCGTGTAAACGAATGTTTTGACAGCTTCCCTAAAGATCTCCAAGCCATGATTAAGGACTTATGCAGAATGTAACTTAGATGGTTAATACGAGAAATAACTTTACTATGCCTTCTTATGCAAAAGTGTTTCTCGGATTGTAAACATGCTTAAATACAATTGTGTAAAAGTTGAACTATGGAAAAAAATATTGGTTGTTTTCATGTGCATCTCTAAGATAAAGCCGTGGCATTAGCACGGGTATTATACTAGTATAGATATGTATACATTGTACGTATCATTGTATAGTATGATTAGAATGGGTTTTCTTTTTCATGTGATCAGATCATCACAGATAGTTTCCAAATAGGCAATATGACAGTTGCCAAGTCTACAACAAACATCTTTGCGTTTCATAAAAAAAAAACATCTTTGCGAAAGTAACAACTTTCAGAAAGAAGAGTGATCCCTATGATTTCCCTTCAAAGTAACAAAGGATAGTTTTACTGCTAGTATGTTAAGGAGTCCTCCATATCCTTTAAAATGAAAATGTGGTCTTAAGATAAGTTACTGCATTGCACTTTGATCAGTTGGCAAAGCAGTCATCCCTACCCTACATAGCACAAACTTGAGACTGCATTGGCAGCTGGTGATGCAAAGTAATCTATCAATCATTATCCAGAATCTATCATCATGCATCCAGGGCAAGCAAAGTGTCACAGCTCACAACACAGAAAATGGGAATGACACATAAAAGGTAATCGATGTCAGAGGGGTGGGGGGGTTGATTCGTTTCAACGCTCGTACTTTAATTCCCTTACTAATGTAGACGTGGGTGTATTGTGGGCTTGCACATGTCTAAAGAGACTAGGGGGTCTAGCTACATGTGGCGTATGCAGACACGTGTTTTGGCACAAACACTCCTTCTAATGATGCTGACTATCAGAAGTTGATCTGTATGGATAGACAGCATGTTCGTTTCGACTGGATTGACTTATAAACCATGACTGAAAGTATTGCTGGTTGATTTGGTGTGAGAGAAAAATATTGTTAGTTGACTGATAAGATAAGGCTTATAAGCCGAATACAGGCCGAGAGAAAAAGAACCGTCTGTGTTGTGTACAGACACCAGCTTTTTGGATCAAACACAGTCTATGGGGCTTACTTGGGAAGCTGCACCTCGAAAGGGGGCTTCAGGAAGAAGCTGCTCAAGCCCTTTTCAATCATGCACAGCACTGTGGCGATCGGCGAACATACCACGATCCTGAACTACTCCTACTGAACTAGAATAACAGCACCGACAAGGAATCGGTTGAGGCAGAATTAAAATTCGATCAAATCAGCCATGAATTCGCGTCAAATCACTAGCAGCAGCAGTAGCGCCTCTAGCTAAGCTAGGCAGTGTACTGTGATTAAACCCTACTAAGCGATTGAGATCTACCATATACGGAATTACGGATCAACGAAGCCGCTCGCGGTTTAACTGATCCATAATTAAGATGGATTGATTAAAAAACGATGTTAGCAAGTAGGAGTACATGCATGTAGCGGTAGTTTTTCTTTGTTTGCCAAGGTGCGAGATTAAACAGCGATATTGGGAGCAACATCGTTAGATCGATGGAGCACAAGTACTCTGAGCAATGTAATGCCCTGCTGGTACGTTCTCGGTACGTGCCATGCTGCTGCCATAACGCTCACGCCCGGGAATTTATGAACTCCATCAGACACGTATCAACCCTGTGGCCCCCTTGCTTTCACTGCACTTGTATGACATGTATTGGACGAATAATTACCAGCAAGAAACCATATGGATACCTAAACCTAAAATGAGTAGCAAGAGATTCAAAATCAGCCTCGAACAGAGTAACTATACGGGAGACCTATTTTGGGTTACCTGAGAGGCACGACCTAAATATGGGCATTCTCTCTC